ATTTGGACCTTTTAATTGGTCCCCTGATTCAATTCAAATTCAGAGATTTGGCCACCGAATTGAGTCGAATCTCCTCCGAATTGAACCACCACCCAAAGCTTTGCATAGCCCTAGTACTTTACTATCTGACTTTGTAAATGTTTACTGGTATAAAATAAAGAAGGAGAAATTTTATTATCCTTCTATCTATATATTCAAGCAGATAGCGATTGGAAAGATGATTTATGTGGGACTGAAAGGGACTAAACTTACAGTCACTCACTGCTGAAAATCAAAGCAGAACTGCGACAATGTCAATACTGCCAACTGGAGCATGCCTAGTAGGGGTGTGCGAAACAGGTCACATTCAATTCAGATTTGGCCTGACTTGGGGGGACAGAGATTCGATTTGTTGATTCAGATTACTGTCCTGATTCAATTCGGCCAAATCTGAAGATTCGATGCAGATTCGAAGAATCAATGATTTGGCCAAAGACACTGTTTTAAATGTTTTTTCTAAATACCTCAAGGTACCAGGAGAGGCTCATAAACACGCAGATGGTGGGGGGAGATGGAGTTTCCCACAGGAGTGTGGGGGGTCCCCCATATGCTCAGCAGTGGACCAGAAGTGGACTGGAAATCATTGGTGATCAGCCGGAAGGACCCCAGGTGCCCCTCCAGGCCCATGAGGCACCAGTCACCGAGTCAGGGGAGGGTCCCCCGCGTGCTCCTCAGTGGACTGGAAGTGCTTCTAGTTCATTTCTGGGTCCACCGCCAAACGCACTGGGGACACCCTGCACTCCTGAGGGACACTATCTGCCCCAGCATCTAAGCATTCATGAGCTGCCTGGTACCTTGAGGTATGTAGAAAAAACATTTAAAGCTTTGTCTATGTCCGAATCACAGAATCTCTCTGAATTGATTTGGACGGTTCTGATTTGATTCGGAGAGTTTAATGGGTATCCTGATTTGATTCAGATTAGGAGATTCGGCCACCGAATCAGGCTGAATCGAATCAGCTGCCGAAGCTTCGCACAGCTCTAACATCTAGCGCCCTGTCTGCTGATCATGGTTTGCTTGCTCTTGAGAAAACCCACTTACTCCCACTTTGATGTGCCAAACCTGGAAATATGTCAGGGATGCCCCACTGGGGACAATGTCTCTCCCACATAGTTTCTCTCTAGATCTCTGTCTCCAACATGCGTGAGAGCAGCTACAGTGGATATTCCCAAAGTGGCTTTCCAGACACATTTCCAGAGGCATGCAAGTGGAGGCAGGTGGGGACAGGGTGGAGCCTTAAATGGGCATCTCTAGCAGCAACAGAGATGTGCAAACATTTCCTTACTGTCCAAAGCTACCATCTATCAATTATTTAAAGTGCCTTTCAACTATCATACAAACTGTACTGTGTTCAGTTCTGGGCACTCACTTCAGGAAGGATGTAGATAAACTTGAAAGGATGCAGAGAAGGGCCACCTGGATGATCAGGGGCCTGGAGGATAGGTCCTGTGAGGAGAGACTCTGGGAACTGGGTTTGTTCAGTCTGAGCAAGAGAAGATTGAGAGGTGACCTGATAACCACCTACAAGTATGTTAAGGGTGAACACCAAGATCTAGGGGAGCAATTCTTCAGAAAGGCACCTCCAGGGAGAATGAGGACCAACGGACACAAGATAATTGAGGGAAGATTTAGGTTGGACATTAGGAAAAACTTCTTTTCTGTAAGGGTATCTAGAATATGGAACTCACTCCCAGCAGGAGTGGTGCAGTCACCATCCTTGGAGATGTTCAAAAGGAGGCTTGACAAGCACTTCATTGAGCTCGTTTGAGTCCAATAACCTCCTGCCCATGGCAGGGAACTGGACTTGATGATCTTATAGGTCCCTTCTGGTCCTTTGATTATATGATTCTATACTGTAAAGACTTAGATACATATATTTAAATTCAGCAAGTAGTCCTAATGCACTTAGATTATTCACTAAAGAACAAAAACTGTCAAAACTGCTAGTCCAGGAGCCACAGGGACAGTAGTCATTTATGGATCATAATATATATCTATATCTATATAGATAACCATTATAGTAATGCATTCTAGTCCAAGAAAAGAGAAAGAGAAAATAAAATCTATTTTTCTTGAACCTTCACTGATATAAGTCCCCAGCATACCTTGTATTTGTTGAGCATTATATGCGAGTATTGCATGACAGACAAACATGCCATCTGGCCACACGTTAAAATTACCACAGGATATTTCCATGCCACAAAGAAGTTGTTTTTTCAATGAGTAGCAATGTGGTTTGTGTCGTTTTTATCCAGAGATAAATTACTCTAATGTCTGGCATGTTATGAACTGTCAAACAATACTTGCATAAAATGTGTGACAAATGTAATGTCTTCCAGAGGACTTTAATATACAATGTGTGTGTTAGGTTATTAATGGCTACAAGGAAGCCATACCCAACTTATGCAGTTAAAAGCATGTTAAAAAAAAAAAAAAAAAAAAACTTGATAATTTTTTTTTTCTTTTTACATAGAGCAGTTGGGAGCTGCAATCTGAACATCACAGAGTATCGCACGTGGTTAAGTGTTAGCGTGATCAGAGCATAAAATATTGCAAATAAATAAGTGAAATTCAAAACAATCAATTCAGAAACTATTCTTTTGCTTAAGGAAACCCAAGAAATTCAGGGATGAGGAAAAAAAGCCCAACATATTTTTAAATATATGTTTTTAAAATCAATAGAAAAAAATAACCCTATTTAGAAAATATCAGTAAGTAATATAAAAGTTAGAAAATCTCCATGTGGTTGGAGAGGGAATGGCTAATGGCCATTCTGTAGCATGGCATGATTGTTAAAGCGCTGTGCTGAGAGCTCAGGGAAATGCATGTTCAACCCTTCTATAGATGAGGGGGCTTAGAACTCGGGTCTCCTACTTCTTGGGCAAGTGGCCTAACCACTTAACTACTGAGACTAAAACGTGGGAGGGTCACACACTAGGTTTTATCTAGGTACAATTTGGTTCTGTCCAGTTACAATGTTGTGACTTCCACGCATGTATTTGGTGTGTGTACATAACTGCATACCTGCACAGCCAGCATGTAGTCTACTGCTCACTAATACATATGTATGCTTCCACAGCCACTTTACATAGCTAACAGAATTGCAAATCATGCATTAACACCAAAAAAATATCATTTTGTAGATAGCAAACTGCTATTTAGACAAACAAAGGAATCTACCCTAAATCTTTACTATTATTTTAGAAAGATAAAATCTCCCCTTCCTTGAACTATTTTTAATTTAATAAAGTAATTTTCAGTGGAGAATTGTTATTTTTATCTGTACTGTGTTCTGAGTTTGTTGTTGTAGAGCAGGGGTCAGCAACCTTTTCAGGCTGTAGGCTGGAGTATCCCAGTTTGGGTTAGAGAAGGACAGGTACTAGGACCCAGCCACTACTGTGGCACAGGAAAGCGCCTGTCACTGTCACTTTTCCCTGTGCCAGCATAGGGTGAGCTCTTGCAGTTGGCATTCCCACCCATGAGAGCAGGTGGAAGTGACTGTTACCGACTCTCCCTGCTACTGAAACTCCACGTCTGTGGTCCAGATCAAAGGATTCTGTAGTGCCAAAAGTTGTTGATCCCTGTTACAGAAAATACTGAACTGCAAAGTGTCAGGTACATGAAAAAACAACATTAAACAGTTTACACCAAGATAAGTATGTTAGCAACAAAAGGAAGATCAGGGATAGTGTGGGTCCCTTAATGAATAGCAGAGGCAACCTAGTGACAGATGGTGTGGAAAAGGCTAAAGTACTCAATACTTTTTTTACCTCAGTCTTCACAGGCAAGGTCAACTCCCAGACTACTGCACCTGGCAGTGAGCAGCCACAGTGGCACAAGAACAGGTTAGGGACCATAGAGAAAAGCTTGCTGTGTGCAAGTCCATGGAGCCAGACGCAATGCACCAGAGGGTGTTGAGAGATTTGGCTGATACAATTGCAGAGCCACTGGCCATTATTTTTGAAAACTCATGCAGATCAGGAGAGGACCTGGACAGCCGGAAAAGGGCAAATAAAGCATCCATCTCAAAGAAAGGGAACAAGGAGGATCCGGGAAACTAAAAACCAGTCAGCATCACCTCAATCCCTGGAAAAATCATGGAGCAAGTCCTCAAGCAATCCATTTCAAAACACTTGGAGGAGGAGGAGGAGGAGGAGGAGGAGGAGAGGCTGACTGAATTGGGCTTATTTAGTCTGGAGAAGAGAAGACTGAGGGGGGGATTTAATAACAGCCTTCAACTGCCTGAAGGGGGGTTACAAAGAGGGTAGACTTAAACTGTTCTCAGATAACAAAAGAAGGAACAATGGTCTCAAGTTGAAGCAAGGGAAATTTAGGTTAGATATCCGGAAGAACTTTCCCACCAGTAGGGTAATAAAATACTGGAACAGGTTACCTAGAGAGGTGGTGGAAGCTCCATCCTTGGAGGTTTTTAAGACCCAGCTAAACAAAGCCTTGGCTGGGATGATAAAGTTGGGGATGGTCCTGCTTTGAGCAGGGGATTGGACTAGATGACCTCATGGGGTCCCTTCCAGCCTTAATTTTCTATGATTCTAAGTATTCAGAGCACACATGCATCCGAAGAACTAACACCTAGTTCTCCTGTAAACATCTGTGACAAAGAAATGAAAACAATGCAAATTTGCTTTGCAGTACTGTCTCAGAATAGATTTTCAGTGCTAGTCACAAAGGTTTGGCAAGTTTTTTATCATATATAGTATATAAAAATGCACAATGTGTGTGTCACATTGTAACAGCTGAAAAAAAAACACTACTCTATTAGTGTAGTATTAAAAGTATGCATGTATGTGTACCAGAAGTTATTTTTTCCTCAAAAGTGGAAGAAATATAATCCCAACAACACTAGCTTATATCTTAGATAAAGAGTCTTCTATTTTCTGCCATGTCTCTGTCTTTCCACAATCAAACATATAGTTAAAGTTTGTTTTGGGGATATTACAAACCTCTGTTCCATCAAGTACATTATGAATAGGATGAAGTAGGGCATCTGTCACTTCACTAGTATATAAACATTCTCTAGCACATTCTGTTTGGTCACACAGAACTTGTAGCACCTCCGTAACAAGGCCAGCAGGAGAATAGTCACCTGACAAAAACAAGAAATATCACCTTTTCAATATAAAAGTGATCACTAATATATCAATACACATTTATCTAGGTGCTTACATGAATTGTCCCTTATTGGGCACTGTACAATGAAAGAAGGTAAGAAACAAAAAAATGTTGCACAATTAACCTATCCAAATGAAGTGGTCAAATACAAAACTTACTAAAATTCTCTCCTTTACACGCAGCCTTAAAATAAAATGATTAAGTAAAAAAGGTAATATTACCTGTGTGCACAGTCAGAGTTGTCTTTGGACAAGTTGGAGAGCAATAAATAAGTCGAATAAACAATACCAACAAGTCTGTTACAGATATAAAGTCTGCAAAAAAAAAACACAAGGAAGAAAAGATAACTCTAAATAAAAGCTCTCTGTAAATAAAATAAAATGTATATTTTTCTGCTTTTATTGTGATTACCAGTATTATCTACAGAAGCCAGATTATAATAATATTGGACTGTAGCTACATATCGGCCAACTGCTTTGCCAAGCTACTTCAAGATCCTCTAATAAAGCTTGGTCCTGCTCCCAACAAAGTCAACCGGAGTTTTACAAATTCTTTCAAGAAGGAAGCTGCCTATAATTTGAAATGTATGAACACTTGGGCATAAACTACAGCTAGACATAGCTAAAATAAGTTATAAAAGCAATTTCCTGTACATTTTTCTATATGAATATAGATTAAACATCATAATTCGACCTTTCTTCATAGAGCTATTCCTCCATGAATACTTTCACTACAAAGGCAATAATAGAAACCTAACAGAATATTGATGACAAAAGTATTAAGATCTGTGCTCAATTTTCACTGTTATCTTTTATCAAAGATTCCCATTACAAGATGCTGAACAGGAACATTCTCCTAGAACATCTACTATATTTGAAAATATAAATACTGCCATCAGACCACTTGCTTTTGCCTCCTGTTTCCCTTACCTTTTCTGTTTTCCAGCTGAACAGGAAATAAGTTTCTGCCTTGTTTATATATCAACAATCTTCCTAAGAGGCACAGTGAATGAACAAAATAGATGTACTGTAATTCTTGTCCTGTGTAGAAAGTCTTCTGTTTATTGCCTTAAAAAAAAAAAATGACTGTGTATTTTAATTTGTTTACATTTTACATTATGTTCCTGCCTACTACATATTTCCGTTTGAATAAGCTCCAACAAAAATGTTACAGTATATACGTAAAGGAAATTGCACAGACAACGTAAATAAGCAACCACTGTTAAAAATTATTTTTTGCATTGTTTGTGAAAAAAGAATATATACCTATTTCAAAAGCTTATGTATAGAGATGCTATGGGTAAAAACAGTGGGTGGTATATTCTTATTTTGCCAGGAGATGCTTAGATACCACAGTAAAAAGGTGTAATATAAGAATCTAGATATTTTAAAAATCTAAAAAAGGGTATGAGTAATGCAATGAATGAAAAATTAAATACTTACTATACTGCTGGGGAAAAGCATTAACCCTTGAAGTTCCATCAACTGCTGACTCCCATGATTCAAAGTAATAAATACACTGTTGAACAGCTGCATTAATCTGGAAGAAGTGGGGAAAAACATAACACACTAAAGCTTCTAGTATTTCACAATAACATGTTATTTTTCAGATCTCAGCATCATGAACCCCACTTAACTTTGGGGTGTTCATGGGATGTTATGTAGGTTTTCTTATGTTTCTTTTACGGATGGTGGAGGATTGTGGGCTTAACTCCAAGACAGGCAGGTGGGCGAGGAACTGGCTGCAGGATAAGACTTAGAGAGTTCAAGTGAACGGATCTGTGTCATCCTGGCGAGAAGTGGGCAGCGGTGTCCCGCAGGGGTTGGTGCTTGGTCCAGTACTTTTCGACATCTTTTTTAACAATTTGGATGTGGGGGTGAAGAGCTCACTGGCCAAGCTCGCGGACGACACCAAGTTATGGGGAAGCGTGGTCAAGCTTGAAGATAAAGTTACAGGCGGACCTAGACAGGCTACCAAGTTGGGCAGATCAGAGCCTGATGAAGTTCAACATCAAGAAATGTAAAGTGCTCCACCTCGGGGCGAACAACCCCCAACGAGGCTACAGGTTTAGTGGCAACAAACTGACTAGCACCACGAATGAAAGGGGCCTGGGGGTAATAATAAACCACAGTCTGAATATGAGCTAGCAATGCAATGAAGTAGCCAGTAGGGCATATAATACTCTGTTATACATCAATTGATGCATCTCCAGCACAACCGAGGTGATTCTTCTGCTCTACTCAGCACCGTTGAGACCACAGCTGGCGTACTTCATCCAGCTCTGGGCACCACACTGTAACAAGGATGTGAACAAGCTTGAGAGAGTCCAAAGAGCCACCCATATAATCAGAGTCTTAAAATGCAAGCCATATGAGAAAAGGCTAAGGGATCTGGGACTCTTCAACCTAAGGAAAAGAAGGCTGAGAGGGGACCTAGTAGAAGCTTACCGCTACACTAGGGGAGTACATCAAGGGCTCAGTGAGCAACTGCTCACCAGGGCACCCGAGGGAAAAACTAGGAATAATGGCCACAAACTCCTGGAAGATCAATTCAGGCTCAACATTAGGAAAAACTTCTTTACAGTCAGGGTGTCCAGACTGTGAAATAAGCTCCCTCCAGAGGCAGTGCAATCACCTACCCCGGAAATCTTCAAAAGGAGATTAGACAGTCACCTTGTTGGGGTCACCTGACCCCCAGTTATCTTTCCTGCTTGGTGCAGGGTGCTGGACCTGATGAGCTTCCAAGGTCTCTTCTAGCCTTACAATCTATGAATCTATGATATGATGTATCATTTTGCCACTCCCAAACACAGGTAGAAGAAGCTATTATTGGGATGGTCATCCAAAGTTGTATCCCTCATTACAGGCAGACAGGTTGTAGCCATATTGGTCTATAGGTAAAAAGAATCGGCACTTGCAGTAGAGGTGGTATCTTTTATTAGATCAAAAAGAATTATTTTTGCAAATATTTACATTTGCAAGCTTTTGGGCGCACACACCCTTCTTCAGACACAGGAGAATGCAAAGGCTGTAAAATTTCTCCTAGGTGGAAATGAAAATTCATATCTCACAGGAGAGCGAAGGTGTTGTAAGATATCTTGGTTGACTCACCTGTGAAATATGAATCTTCATTTGCACCTAGGAGGAATTTTACAGTCTTTGCATTCTCCTATGCCTGAAGAAGGGTGTGTGCTCCCAAAAGCTTGCAAATAAAGAAATTTTAGTTGGTCTAATAAAATATATCACCTCTACCATGCTGCCTGTAATGAGAAATTCAACCCCTCAACAGAGAAGGCATCTCAGAGTAATGGGTCATTGGACAGAGGAATTCCAATTGCCCTGACAGGAAAAAAGATACCTAGAGGATTCTGAGATTGTGAGCAAATAAGACAATGCTGACAGAAGTACTAGTTGCTGGCTGGAAGGTACATGGGGGCTGTCTAGCAGTCATCATCTCTGAATTACCCCAGGATAGGGCAGAGTCCAAGTCCCTGTTGACTAAGGCTAGCAGGATCAGCAGAAAGGATGATCCTTGGAAATACCGGTCCTTGGGAAAAAAAAATGATCATCATAAGCCACAGATACATGAGCATCTAGAGCAGTGCTTTCTAATTTTTTTCCACAGTATAGCCCCATTTTCCTCAGCATAACCCCATTTCCTCAGGATGGCCCCTCACTCCCAACCCAGATCCCTGTTTATTGCAACCCCATCCACTGATGTTGTGATCCCATTTGAGGTCACGACCCACAGTTTGGGAACCACTGACCTAGAGGATTATTCTGAGAAGAAATACAGAGGTACTGTATAGGTACTTATGAAAGCTAAGATAGCATGTTCCTCAAATAGCAATAAACAACAAAAAACAAGTAGTGAGTACAATACAAGCTTAAATGTAAACTTACCAGAAGTTTATATTTCTTTTCAAGGAGTCGAAGCACCACAGTTCTGCTATAATATGCATGCTAAAAATTACAAGATAAAATTACAAACAAAAAATTAAAAGATAGAAACACCAAGCTTACACTTTTCAATACAAATCACTGAGCTTCTTTTGAAAACAAAAATCATAGTTCAGTTCTCCAATTTTATTCCAAGAACTACAGCATATAATTAAATATACAATATATTTAATTCTTACTCATGTTAATCAGTGTTGCATTCCAGTATGTTTTTCTATTTGCACTGCATTAAGCTAGCAGTAACAATGAGAGATTTACAATGAAATTACAATTGCTTTAGAATGAAAATACGCACAACATGCAGTTCCACATGTAACAAGGTATCAAATCACTAACTACTCCTAGATGACGGGCCACATTTTCAGATGTACTGTGAATTGTGAAGGGAAAAAAAAAGAACAAAACAGATCTTTCCTGTTTTTCTACTGATCAGGTAATTCCAATATATATAGAAACCTCCATCACACTTTAAAAGAAGCTATTACATAGCCTCCCATTTGTTGTTTCATCTCCAAACATGCCTGAGACTACTGTCATATACATTTCCCCATCTTTTTTATACTTTTCTCCTGTCAGCTTTAGATATCATTTGGTAGTATTACTAAATATCTACTTTATTTTATAAGAAGCACCTTGCTCTTTGACTCAAAAAATCTTTAGCAGCTGTAGACGACATTGTCTATTGACTATTATGTTTATTATCATAATTACAATCCATAAAACATACTCTGGACCAGGGGCAGGCAAAACATAGCCCATGGGCCAGGTCTGGCCAGCCAGACCATTGTACCTATCCTGCGGGGCCCCTCAAAAATTTAGAAAATTAATACATCTGCCCCTGGCTGCCTGTCAAAGTTGACAGGAGCCAGGAGCAGTAGAAACCAGGGGAAGCTGCTGGCTGGATCAAGTGGCTTTAGAAGCAAGGCCCAGCTGCCCCGTCCCTGCACCCCCAGCCAAAAGCCCTGTGCCAAGCAGAGGGTTCTAACCTGAGACCCTGGGGCTGTTCCTGCCTCCCTGCACTGGTGGAAAATTCAGATAAGCGGGGGGAGGCATGGGAGGACTGCGGGCAAATCACCCCAATTCTCAGGGTCGGGGCAAGCCAGCTGGTGTGGTCCCAGCACTTAAGCCGGGAGCCACATGGTGCCAGAGCAGCCAATGGGCAGTGGAGAGGAGCAGCAGCAGCCACAGGCAAGGAATTGCTGAACGTGGCAGCAGGCAGGGGGGCAGTGAGTAGGTGCGTAGAGCTCAGTGACAGCGAGGTAGAAGCATGGGGTCCATGCCAGTGCACCGGGCCAAGGCCAGCAGAGGCCCAGAGCGGGCGGCAGGAGCACAGGGCTGAGTTGGCAGGGGCTCCAGAGCTGGGCTAGCTCCCCCTCTCCCTGCTGATGGAGCCTGGCCTGGCTCCAGAGCCCCTGCCGGACCCTGCTCCGTGCTCCTGCCACCCCACTCTGGGCCCTGCCAGCACTGTCCCTGGCACACTGGTGTGGCCTCATGCTCCTGCTACGCTCGCTGCCACTTCTCCCTGCCTGCCGCAACCATTTATCTGCTGCCACCACTCACCTCCACCCCTCTGCCGGTGGCTCTGACACCTCGTGGTTTCTGGCTGCAGCGCCAGGCTGCGGAATGCAGCAGTAGCCATCCTGGCCTCTGCAATTCTCGGCTGGCTCTGTGCAGTGCTGGCTGGGCTGGTTTAGCTCCTGCTGCAATACTGTGCAGCTGAGACGTGGTACCGGAGCAACGAGCTGTCGGGGAGGGAACAGGGAAGTGACAGAAAGGCAGGTACCCTAGGGCCAGAAGCAGCAGAAGTGCAGAGCCCAGGCTTAGAGGAGCGTTGCGGGGTGCTCTGCCTGCCACAGGGGGAATGTGGGCAAGTCTTCCTCCTCCACACATGCCACATCCCTCGCTAGCCACCCTCCCCCCACACACTCACAGCCCCCTACTAACTCCATACCCACCCGTACCATAGCCGTACACACACCCACATGCTCCCCCACCCCATATATACACGCCCCCCAAAAGCCCCCCACACACCTACACCCTCCCTCACACACCCACAAACTTATAGCCACCCACCCACACGCCCCTACAATATACATAACTAAGATGTCATTTTAAGCTATTGTGCAATCACCTCTGGGTACACTACACAAACATGTAAATCAAGACAAAAAGATTTTTCTGAAATCAAAGTAATGAATGTTGTAGTAAATATTTGATTTTTAGAATATAATTTGGTATTTTTCTGGTTCCGAGATAGCAAACCGTTGCTTAAAAGTGGTACTTTTGGGGAGCAAGGGAAGGGACTTCTGGTGGCAAAGGTTTGGGGCTAGGGGTGGGACTTCCAGTTCCAAGATGGTGACTAGGAGGTGGGTCACCTGTCAAGGGGCAGATATACCCTTGCAGTCCTCAATGACTTGCCAAAACTCAGTAAGCGACCCTCTGCCCAAAATAATTGCCCTCTCCTGCTCTGGACTAATCATCCATCTTAATCTTTATGCATTAAACCCTTTAAAATACCAAAAAGCAGATCCTTCAAATCTCCCTTACCATCCATTTTTTAAACCAAACAGCTTTGATATCAAGCATAGCCAGAAAGTATACTGGATCCAAAAGCTCTAGAGAGACAAGGCAGTTTTGCTCATGTCTTATTGACAACAGCGATAAGGTACTCTCCACTATTTCCTCCATATACCTGAAGATATGGTTAGAAAGAAAAAACAAACAAGTATTAAACTGGATTAAAAATTATACTAGTATCTTTCAGAATTAATCTTATAAGACTGGACATCTTTTTTAATTAAAATGAATATATTTACTGTAAACAAACTGAACTGCATTTAATTTGTATTTTTTTTTTAAGTATTTCAACCCTTGTTGTTTCTTGTGAAAAAAATATTGTGCATATTTTACATATCTTCTCAAAGGATACCATAACACTGCAACAGTGGGAGCTTTCTTCTTGCCAGCTCATGGGAAACCTGGGACAGGGCTCTCCCTGCACTGGAAATAAGGTACAACGGGATCTAACATGCGATCCCATAATCATGCCTCCTGCCACGCACATGTGGCATGGCAGGAGGCACAACTGTGTGGATAGTGCATTAGATCATATCACACCTTACCTGTATGCTTAGAGAGGCCCATAGTGTGCTAGCATTCTGTGCTGAAAGGGAGCAGTGGTTGTATAGTTCATGTCAACCTGCAGACTGAAAGATAGTAGGGGCAAAGGCTAAAAGAAACAGAGGACTAAAAACAAGAAGCTGAAACAGCTATGGGTAATTGAGGAAAAATGGGACTTTATGATTATAAAATCATAGGGTAGCAAAACCCAAAACTGAATATATGAAAAATGCATTTAGTTTTGGTGCTACTTGCATAAATGAGGTCAGCAGAAAGGGTGAATGGCACAGTAACCCTTGACTGACACAGAGAAAAGAGTAAGTCTGCACCAAATGAATTGAAAAAAAACAAAGTCTCTTTCTCAGTTAAATGTATACTGAGAATTGCACACCTTACATCTAGAAGGGACTATTATAATAATCTAGGATGATCCCCTGTATAACACAGACTTCAGAATTCCACAAAATAGTTTCCGCATTGAGCACACAACTATTCAATGAATAAATCTGCTGTAGTAATCTCCACGTGATCTATCAATTTGAGTCCAGATCAAAGCGACCCTACAGGGATTATGCAGGGATTAGCAAAAGATATCTATACACCAGGGCTGCAGTTATTAATTCAATTTATGGGCAGCATCTCTCTTAAATTTAACTTTTTCTACAAGGCTTTTTAATTACTTTTTCAATTATTTTTAATTAACAGGGGAAGTAGTGGACCACTGTTCAAGTGTTAGAGTAGTTTTGTAATCCAGCTTTCAGAACATGACATACAGATTTGAATAAGACAAAAGATGAGAATGTGGAAATTACTGAGCGACAGCTTACCTATGGTTTAACCCATCTGCTCTATCCTGGGGTAAGTAGAAGCTAAATCACAACAGTGCAGCAATTATTTAATTCAGGGATAACTGCCTGTAACAGGGAACCCTAGCCCTGTTACCAGAAGACAGGTCGGCACCTTTAAGATCAGGACTTTCTGGGCACAGCACGCTGGTAAGGTAGTAGTTAAAAGTTGAACCAGGCCAGTTGGTCAGGTGATTGAAAGCGGGCAGGCCAGGACTATAAAAACCCTGGGGTGGGCAGCAGTTGGGGGCCTGGCAGCCGTTGGGGGCCTGGCAGCCAAACAAGAAGGTGTGTGAGAGAGAGCTCCACAGAGAGGCTGGGTAAGTGGTCCAGAGGCTGAAGGAACTACTGAGGAACCTGGAGAAGTAGCTGCAACCCCAGAGGAAGGACACTAGCTGATGGTGGGGAGCAGAAGCATGACCCCTGAGTAAATGTAAGCTGGCGTGCTGCCTTCTTTGATCATATTCTTTGGTGGTAGTCATAGACTGTGGACAGACTGTTTATGGGTATTTTTTGAATAACAATGGCAGTCTCAGCAAGGCTAGTGGAGAAGGAGGAGGCCTCATTTGGACCCCACTACACCGTGGGGACCTAGTGCCCATGTGAGCACATGATCTGGGGTGTACTGACCCCAGTGCCAGAGGAGGCACAGTATTTGGGGTACATAGGCCCTGACACCAGTGTGGGCGCAGGATTTTGGGGGGTACAGACCCCGGCGCCAGAGAGTGCAATCCTAAAAGGTCAGGGTGGTCTGGTACCCCTGAGATACAGCTTTGTTTTTGTTTTTTTTTGTGGACTGGGACAGCATAGGTTGGGGCTGTTCCCCGGCCTTGAACTTGCAACCCCTTGACTGTGGGACCAGTGGCCAGCCCTCTGAGCCAGGGAGGCTGGCTCCAGACTGGAGCAGAAAGGAGGGCCACAAGCTTCAAGACAAGGAAAAGGGCTAGAGCCTCAGAGTCAAACCCTGTTAGGTGCATTTAGACAGGGAGGCCTAGCTAGAGAAAGGCAAGGGTCAAGGCCCATGGAGGTGGAAGATCCCAACATACAAAATATAATAGTCTCCTGCTTACAAAAACATCAGTATAACAATTTTCCATCAAGACGTGGCAGAAAAGTAGAGCACGGGACACAAGAAACCTTAAAGGGGACTCCAAGGGCACCCCATGTAGGGCACAGATAACAGGGAAGATGGTGCTGGGGAAGGCAACCTGTTATACTGCCCCAGTTTATCTTCAAATTACTTCAAGGCAGAGCAAATGAACTAACATACATCAAGCTCCCTTTCACTTTTAACACAGTATAATTTGTCTGCCCATTCCCTCAGCCACTCCCTATCTCCCTGACAAACACAATTGTATACACATTACTAGTATTTTGATAAATGCTATGCCTTTAATGATAACATTAAAAAATCATCTTAGAAAAAACTGGTCCATTATACAAGGTAACATACTTTTCTGGATGACGTATCCAAAAAGATGGAGCCTCTTTCTGGTATTCATTTAAAAGACGCACCTGTGAACATAAGAGTTACAATAAAAAAAGGTAAATAATACATATTTCAATAGCAACTATAAAGGTTATAAAAATGAAAATAAAATAGAAAGCTAATGTGTACCTTTTTAAGTAAACGAATTATGTCTGGATTAGTTACATCTATACCAGCTGAAATAGTATGAACATGATTTTCTCTAGAAAGAAAGTACAACTCTAAATGTTTTGCTGAAAGAAAAAAAAAAGGAAATTCCCACAATATTACTATTAGCCAGTTAAGAATCTTGTTTGTTTGTTTTTTAAAGATAAATTTTAATTTTAATTATTACCTGACTGCTAACAAGTTAATGAAACAAACAAAAAAAAAAACCCTCTTAATATGTACTTACCTAAACTTGTGTAGACTTCCCTTGTCATACTAAGTGGACATGATGAAAAGCCCTTCGCATAGAATCTCAAAATTTTGTCCTAGGATAAACCAATAAAAGAAATAATTTTAGTGTTTTACACTGAAATGTTTTCTTATACAGTACAAAATATGATGTAACAGTTAAACTTTAATACGTGTTTAATTAATAATCCCTATACCAAAGAAGGGGAATCTACACCAATGTACCAACTACCACATTAGTCTCATTGGTCATCCAAGAAAGGTGCTTCTTAGAACAATACTAACCAGGTTCAAGCTGCAAATTGAGATTGTGTTAGCAGAGAATAAACTGGATTTAGATCTGGAAGAAGAACCAGAGAACAGATATTCAAATTCAGAATCAGGTGAGAAAAGTACCATGACCACCAAAAAGAACTCCATCATAATTTCATAGACTTTAAAATAAAGTTTTTGACAGGATGTAGTGAAAAGCACTTTAGCTGACCATGAAGAAGCATAACATCAGTCCCACACTGATAAGTCTTATAGAAGAACTCTACAACAACACAAATAGTAGAGTCCTGCTTTACAACAACGCTGTGGAGTGGTTTACAACATCAGTAGGAGTACGCCAAGGACGTCTTATCACATCATGTTTACTTAATTTATACCTCGAACAAATCATGTCAGATGCTTAGAGAACTTCACTGGAAGTGTCAGTTTGGATGACGAGAAATTAACAACTTTTGTTTTGCTGATGGCATTAATCAAGTAGCTGGAACTACAGAAGAGCATAAGAAAATAACAGAAAGGCTGCATAAGATTACAAAGAGACATGGAATGGAAATTGGTGTGGAGAAGAGCAAAATAAGGATAACATCAGCCAGTAGCAACGAACATGCATCAGTAAACATTGGTAATGAGAAGCTAGAAAAAATAACACACTTTAAATGCCTTCAAGCAAGCATCACAGAAGATGCTACATAAGAAAAAGAAGTAAAAATAAGAATAACCATCCCCACTGGACAACTAGCAAAACTGAAGAAAATCTGGACAAGCAGCAACATAACAATGAAAACAAGTTTCCACCTACTCTGAAGCTATTCTGGGAGATCCCCAGAAACCCCAGATCCTCCCCCCCTCCAACATGAAGTAATTTAATTAACAGGGGTTCACCAATACAGATTTTTTGGGCCAATACCGATGGCCGATTTTTAACGAGCCATATCGGCCATTACTGATATGCAGCCTGGCAGCTTGGAGAGCAGCGTCCAGCTGGTAAGTCTGTTGTGGAGCAAGAGGGGAGGGAAGGGGTGTGGGGGGAGGCACTGCACAGCCAGGGGCAGGGGATGGAGATGTAAACAGGTTGTACTGTTCCCAGTCATAATCTCAATCTCCCAGATTGCTTTCAATAGTCACTCGGAGATAGATGCCAATTCCAGTAGACTTCCAGCCGATCCGGGAGGGTTAGCAACCCTACCTGCTACAGAGGTGGGCAAAATACAGCCCATGGGCAGAATCTGGCCTACCAAATACTTTCATCCAGCCCATGATGCCCCTCAATGAATTGCTCCTTACCCAGTCCTTCCGCCCACAAGGGTGGGAGCAAGGCACATACCCTATTGTGCCTCACTCCCACCCTGTAGGCAGAAGGACACTGCAGGGCGAGCCTTCATCTTCTAGGCAAGGCTGCTAGGGCCTAGGAGACCTGCTCTGCTGCCATGGTCTCCTACTGGCTCTGAGCAGCAGGTAGGAAAGCAGCAGGGGCAGGGCTGAAGCTGGACTGGAGCACGGCCCTGGGGCTGGCAGTAACGTAGAGCTCAGCTGGGGGGGGGGGGGGGGGACCCACCCACACACTCCCCCCATGGTACACAGCCCTGGCAGGCAGTGGCAGCAGCAGAAAGTGGGGTGCCCACACTCCACCATACAGATGCACACACACATCCACACCCCACCATATACCCCCCCAACAATATACATGACTAAGCATATAAATGAGCTATTATGCAATCACTTCTATCATAATAAAATTAAGATATGTTATGGTAGGTATTCAAGTGACAAGAAGTCAGCAGATATGAACCCTCACTCAGTTATAAGAAGACAGATGCAATGATTTGGACATTTAACAAGAAGGCCTGGCACCCTTACCAATAGCATCCTGCAGGTTGCTGTGGAAGGAAGAAGAAGAGGAAGACCTAGGACAATCTGGACCACCAACATCAAAGACTAGACGGGATTAAAACTGACTGATTCTACATGGACTGCAAAAGACCGGGAAGAATGGAGGAGAGTTACTGCTACAACAAAGGTAGCCCAAAAGTCAGTGCAGCCTCAGGACTGACTTGACTAAAAATTATTCCATGTTATATTTAGCATTGCCTTTTATTTATATTACCTAATAAATGTGCCCTGTATTTTACAAGAATACAAAATAGATTTGTGGCCCTAAAAACTTAGACCCTAAAACCAGGCAGAGAGACTATACTTTTACTGGTATAAGTGATCAGAAACTGGGCTATAGCTGTAACAGAACAGATGTTTAGCACACACAGACTGCTTTAAAAATGGTGGAACTTGGTCTAAGAGTTATCCTGCTCCCCAACCCCTCAAAAAGGCAAATGTGCATTCTGTTCGTTACCAGTCTAAACTATGATGCTTACAGAAAACCACACAACTTAGATTGATTCTGCCTCAGAGTTTTTGAATGTCTGTACCTAGCCTAAAAGGAATAGTGTCCCTGTTTTGCAATTCACTTCACCAAACCACAGCCCCACTGATCTATGCAAATGCAGGATCTACATTAACAGGTTTTTAATACTGGCTTCTGATTATTTGATATCAGTAAAATGCAAACAACTCCCCAAATACCACCACCAAATAGGCACAAGAGGATAAATAAATGATATAACTGGAAGCAGCTATAACTCCTTTGGTTTTTGCAAATTAGAGGGACACTGTATGAAAAAAAACTGCATTTATACAGTTGTTTTCCCCTCAGGAAAGTGCCCCATAGATAAAGCCAAAACAAACAAAAACAGACTGGGTTTTTTTTAATCCACCTCATATGCATCACAATTATGCATCAAAACTCACACTTAAAAGAGTTTTGTAACTCATCCAAAGTTTAAGGGAAATTACTAGAGCAGTTCGCATCAAGTAAATACTAGAAGTAAAATATATAGAAAGATTTAACAGTTGCAAAAGTCCATATGCATACATGCATGCAGAGAGCAATAATTATTTCCTTTGGAACTCTGGGAGATAGTTTAAAAAAAAAAAGAACACCCCTCCCCCCCCCACAAGTGCTTTAAAAATAACTATTTTGTTTAATTTCAATGACTAACAATTTGGAGAGGGGAAGTCTTTGTTAAAGATGCATTCATGCCCCCCCTTTAGTGTGTACTTTATTATATTTGGAGAATTTTCTAGGAAAACGGGCGGGGGGGGAAGAAATAAGTTTAAAGTAAGAACAAGCGGGAAAAAAAGTTTAAAAAGTAAAAATAAATTTGTATTCCTTATACAAAAAAGGAAGAAAATGAAAAAAGTTAACTGGGATTAAAACAGCTTTCTCAGTTACGTTCCACACCACTGTGGGCATGTCTACACAAGACAATGAGCAGTAGACTAACTGTACTGCGCATTAGCACATCATGACAAATGCTGTGCTAATGCACAGCAGAATTAAATCTATTGCGCCTTAAACATTATGAAAATACCATGTGCCACCACCACTGCACAGTAGTGCCAACCAGGGTGGATAAAAATCAGCTATTTTCTTAATTTAAAAAAAGGATTATTTTTACTTAAATCAGATTTTTTTAATTTAATCATACTTTTGATTTTTCTGTTAAGATGCTTTTAAAAAATAAAGCTATATAAAAGATAATTTTAATTTAAGATAAATTAAAGCTCAAACATATCACAGAATTGGGATTATTCTAATTTTATGCTATTTGAGACCATATATTCATGTAACCTTTTTAGAAAAGTGTTATAAATAGGTCACAACAGGCCATGGACTATATTAGGGGCCCAATCTTATGGAGTCCCCAGAGGCTCCTCTATAGATTAAAAATTAAAGAAAACCATACTACCCAATGGAACTTGGTGCTCACTCAGTCTAGAAGATCCCATTAAGCATCTCTGTGATGCTTAGTTTCAGTTCTCAAACTGTGGATTTGTGTCTCAAGATAACATCCTTGTTAACAGCAGTATATGGAGATAAGAGATAACAGACCTGATTACCTACCCATCAGCCCTACCGTCTACACAGAGTCAAGACCTTGTCTCTCTCTAAAAAGTGCAAAGTTTCAAGGTAAATGAACAGAGGCTTGTTGGGGGTGGAGTAGATCTGGGCAAAGAAGAGGAGTCTGAAGATGAATACAAGGAGGGAGAGGCAGTAGGAACATTTGCATTTTGAGCAAAATAGCTTCTCCATTGATTTGAAATCTAGTGAGGGGATGGGATGGTAGAAGGGAAAATCATGGCAGCAGGCTCGCCAGGCCATAAGAGAGACCCTGTTTGGAAATATTTTAATTAAGTTCCTCCACCTGTGGGTAAGACAGGCATGTGTGCAAAATGCAAACAGTGCAACAAAGAAATGCAAGGACTGGCTCTCTGAATGACACATCATGAGAAGTGCTCCTTCTCAGGAGGACGCTGCTTTGAAGATGATGAACGGAACATCTGAACATGCAGCCAGTGAACTGGGGCAGCAAACAGAGCAAACAGTTTGCAGGCAGTTCGCTCCCCCC